CTTATAATTATTTATTGGGTTACCCATTTGGTTTTATTTTCTTTTTTAATGTTTTCTAATTTTTCTTGGTTTCAGCTGCATAAGAGATTATTTATGATTTATGACGCTGTTTTAATCAAGAAAATTAGAACTTTTTTCGTTTTTTATTCCCCCTTTTGGAACTGACAATATTTAATATATGTTTTTATTCTGTAAACAGGAAGTTTAGAGCCTAATGACTGTATGATGGATTCCATGTGCAAATTTGAAGTTGAATGTAATGTGTGAGTTGAAATAAAGTGAAATTTGTGACTTTTTGCTGTTTAGGATTGGTCTATTTATCAGCTTTTGTTGTGTAGTTCTATTAGATTCATATTAAAGCTTAAATTAAAAAGAAAATGGTGGTTTGTTTGGATCGAAGTATGAGCTTTCTTGCGTATTAGAAAAATTGGGTTGGGGTGAAAGATTTGTTGGTTTTGTTGGTTCATAGTAAGTTGTAATTGGCATAGGAATTAAAGTATTCAATGGATCATTTGGTAATTTACTGTTGGTTAATTCAGTAAATTGAAATTTCCAATTTATATATCAGAAAGTGGTTTCGAAGGATGGGAGATGCAGATTCAACGGGTGGTTGTCTAGACATAGATTTGGAGAATGGGGGAACTATGAGTGAGGAAAATGGAACCAAATCAAAAGGTCTGAGTGGTGGGAGTTCAAAGAAATTGTTGAGTAGGGTGAGAAGTGGGTTTCTGAGAGGAGAATCACCGGATGGATCTAAAAGGTTTAGTGATCGTTCGCATTCATATGATAAATTGTTGGATTTGGATGAGGTTTCTTTGACGAATATGGAGTTCAAGTTTGGAAAGGTTAGGAATGAGACGATGAATTTTTTGGATAAGGAGAAGTCTAAAAACCCAAACTTTGTAAAGCCTTCAAAACCACCCCGGCCTCCCAAAGGTCCCTCATTGGATGCTGCAGACTTGAAGATGCTCAAGGAAATCTCCATGCTCAACTTGAAACGCAAACGGATGGAAAAAATGAGGACCTTAAAGACAATAAAGAAGGAGAAGGCATCCTCGTTGAGTACTAATCTTTTTGCCATATTTGTCACCATAATCTTCTTTTATGTGATTATATATCAAGGTAATAACTTCATACTAAACCACGAACAGTATAAAAAGAAATACACTGTTGAATCTATGTAACTTCTTGAAATTCCTCTACTAGTAACTTGTAAATATTACAGATCCTAATGATCTACATGGTGAATTTTAGCACTGAATCTTAGTTTTTGACAGAACAAGGATTAGATCTACTATCTTCAGACATCCTCTCGAAATTTATGAATTGTTAAAGCTCAAGAGTTTATATATTTTATATTTATGTAGTGTTAGATTACGTTGGTCCTGGTAAAATATTACAAAGATCAAACATCTATAAAGAACATGGAATGCACTGTGTTCATCTTCAAAACCCAGGTTAACATAGAGTTAGAAGACTATTTGAAGTGTAAATCTTGACACTTGGATATGGAGAGATGAATCCGCTTGTTATTTCTGATAAATAGGCACTTGAGAAATTAACAAACGCAGAAGAGGGGGAATTGGCTAATTTATATACGGACCATAGCATAGTTCAATGCTAGTGGTTTCACCTTCTACTTGTCGAAGTTGTACTTTCTAATATTTTCCCGTCTTGATTTTTCTTCTTCCAAACTCCCTTTACTCTTCTGTTATAGTTAAATTTATTAATGGTATGTGTCTTCTATTCTCAATTTTCAGGCCTTCTGGGTTCACGTTCACTCATGTGATGCCTGTATGCACTCCTCACCAATTTTCGGAGTAAAATTCCTATCTATTTTCTTTCGCCTTTGTATTTTTCTGTCTGTAAACATTGAATATATTAACATGCGAGTTATATAGTTATCTTCTGGGACAAAAGGTATCTGGTTTAGCTGTAATTGTGGATTCAAATGTAGGATAAGAAATTGCTGTAATCGTGGATTAGTTGAAGATCAATACTAGCTATATAACTGATATTCCTAGGCTACATTTACTTAGATAACTATGATGAAACTCTTGAGCTATTCCCACATATCAAAAGATTCCTGTCCGTGAAAATCCACACTTCTAAAATTCCTAAGATAGACTGGATTGTAGCATTTGATACTTGCACAATATCCATAATTTCAATTCATCTAAGTTTCTTTAAGTAGGTACCCTTCATGCTTGATTATTTTGGGGATGCCGCAAAGGATTTAGCAATCTTTTCTGCAACTACCTCTCTTCCTAATGCTCCCTTCTCCCCCTGTTTCGTCTTGAACCATATTGATTACGGGTATTAGATTTTGTCTCCCCTAAATTTTGTAATATAAATATATAAAGCTACCATCTTCTATTCAAAGATACTGGTGTAAATATTGTTTATGCTTATATCCAATGGTTACTTTCAGTATTGGATTTCTGATGAAGTATTCGCGAAAAAAATACGGAATCACGATGGTTCAATTGGTCGAAACTCACGTTTAGCCTATGTTCGGTCCCCAATTTTTCAAGAATTCATTTTTTCAACTCATTTTCAAATTTCAATCACACATTATCCAATAAAATAATTTTGCACGTAAATCAAAAACTTTT